GAAGCCCCTTAGAGGCCCAGCAGATACCCCACGAGGCCCCAGGAGGCACCCAAAAAGCGCCCAAGCCGCCTCCAAGGGACCCCCCGGCAGGCTCCCCACGACACCCCAACACACATTCAAGAGACCCCAGACCCGCAACCCAGGCACGGTAGCGGGATGAGCCGAATGCCATTCGGATAACGCTAATGTCTTAATATGCGCTGATGATTCCGATCTGCCCCCGCAGGATGTTCTCAGATGCGCCAAGGCAGCGCCGACATGCACCGACGCGATTCTGGCATATCCCATTATGATAGAAGGAGGGCCAGCGGTTGGGGGCGAAGCCCTGATATATATACATGTATATGTGTATATATATATAAGAAAAAGTGGCACCACGCAGTCGCGGATAAGAGAGGGGGCGGCGGGGACGTCTGCAGTCTGCGAGGCTCTGAAGAAGCCCGCCGCAGGCGCTTAATTTTTCCAAGTTGTACAAGGAGCCCGCCGCAGGCGCCGATCTTTTCGTTAAAGCAATGTGGATGGGTCGCGGGGTGGGTCGCGGGTGGGTCGCGGGTGGGTTGCAGGTGGGTCGCGGGTGGGTCGCGGGTGGGTCGCGGACCGCGTCGCGGGCTGTGTCACGGGGTGGATCTCGGGATGGGTCGCGGGTGGGTCGCGGGATGGGTCGCGGGTGGGTTGCGGGTGGGTCGGGGCCTGGTCGCGGGGTGGATCGCGGGTGGGTCGCGGGTGGGTCGCGAGCCGGGTCGTTGGGGGGACGAGGCCAAACAACAAACAATATCAACAACCACAACAACAACACCACCGCCAACAACAACAACAACAACAACAGCAACACTGACAACAACACCGACAACAAAAACAACAGCAACAACACAACAACATCACCAACACCAACAACAACAACAGCAAAAGCAACAGCAACAACAGCAGCAACAGCAATAGCAACAACAACAGCACCATAGTAGCAATAACAGCAGCAGCAACAACAGCAACACCAACAAAAACAACGACCACACCATCGACAATCTCAACAACAATATCAACGACCACATCACCACAACAACACCATCACCACCATCACCATTACCACCAACAACAACACCAACACCTACCACCACCACCACCAACACCACGAAGACTAACAACAACAGCAACATCATCAACAACAACAACACCAGCAACAACAACAAACACACCAACAGCAACATCAGCAACAACGACAACAACATGAACACGCATCGCGGAATCCCACTTCAGCCGCGCCCCTAGGGCCAGTGAATGACCGTTCGGCCCCCTCACTCTGATATATACACATTTCCAACTCTGTGTAGGGCTTCGGGGGTCACTGGAAATCCCTGGATTTCCCCAGGGGCCCCTGGAGGCCTCTGGATCGAGCGTCGAGGGCGGCAGCTCGATCCTCAGACCTCCTCCCTGCCTTTCGCCGACGACGGCGATCACGACGACGGCGACGACGAAACGGCGACGACAGTAATCTGTGAGCCGACGCCGCCTCCCATCGTCGGCGGCGGCCCAAGGCGCGGCCCGCGCCGTTGTTGGTCGTCGCCGCCGCCGCCATCGTCGCTGCCGTCGTCGTCGTCGTCGTCGTCGTCGTCGTCGTCGTCGTCGTCGTCGTCGTCAGCGTCGTCGCCGTCGTCGTCGCCGTCGTCGTCGTCGGAGGGGAAAGAACACATCGAGAGCTGGAGGGGAAGAAACACGCAGACACATAGGATTAAGTCGGGCCTGTCCCCCTGCAGGCCGATTTTGAACGAGAAATTATAAATACACCAAAAAATACCCACAACAAATCAATTATCCTGGCGAAGGACCCAACCATATGCAGTTGTGAGTATCGCAATTGTGAGTATCTTCTTCGGTGGCGCTCCCTATGGGGCCACGAACCGCATGATGGGCGTGCCGAGATGTGGCGGGGTACACAACGCAAAGGAATACGATAGATCTGATTACGAGAGAAAGAACGCGGGTGAGTCAGAGCGCGAGGGAATCTGAGTATGAATGGGTCTGCGTGCGAGTGAATATATTTGCATGAATGCGATCATGGAAACGCCTAGTGTAAGTGTCGAGCATGCCTGTCCGAACACACGTGACACTGGGCGTGGCCGCCGCAGGCAGCTTCCGCGGGAACCCCGACGGCAGCGTCCGCACGTCGCGACGCCCATGTCGGCACGCCTCTTGCGAGGATCGCGCCCGCTTTCGGCTCTTCTTTTCCTTCCTCTTTGCCCGCGCACTCCAAAATCCAAGGCTGCGGGCGCAGCGCAGCGCGGAGTCCCCGCGACGCGCGCTGGTCGCCCCGGGCGGGGTCCCAGCGACGCGCGCGGGTCGTCCGCTGCGCGAAGCAGAGAGAGCTGACTAGCTAACTGGCTGGCTGATAGCGGGCAAGTCTCTGACCGCTGGGCAGAGCGACGACGGGCGAACGAGGCGCCGGGCCCCCCGCAGCACGGAGTTCCCGCGACGCGCGCTGGTCGCCCCGAGAGGGTCCCAGCGACGCGCGCGGGTCGTCCGCGGCGCGAGGCCAAACAATTAGTCGGGCAGTCGAGAGAAGGCGCGGCTCGGGGGAGACGCTCCTCAGGTCAGGCCTCGCGGATGAACTCGGTGAAGCCGAGCTCCCTGGCGAGGGCCGTCGCTTCCCTCCTGCACCGCTTCGTGCGCGCCGCAAACTGCTCCAGCTGCTTCCGCAAGCCCTGCGGCGGCCCTGCCAGGAAGAACTCGATGCGCGGCGCCCGCATGAGCAGGAGGTCCTCGTGGCGCGTGGCGCGCGAGAGCAGCACGTAGAGCTCCAGCCACCAGTCGTCGTCCTCCTTCTTGCCGTTCCCTACCTCGTGGCGGCCGCAATCCAGGATCACGCCTGGGCGACGTCGACCGAGGGAGCAGCGCGCCGGGCAGCCGACGGCCCAGGGCGAGAGTCCACAGGACCGAGAGATGGTCTGGCCGCGGACTGCTCGCGCCCCGGAGGTCTGGCCGCCCCCGGAGCGCCGTTCCCCCGCCCCGTCGCCTTCGCGCATGGTGCGCCCCTGGCACGCCACCGTGGTGATGACCCTGCCGTGCGAGAAATGCGGGGGGTGTGCCGAAATGGGTGGGGGTGACGCATGCGGGCGGCGGCACTGAGGCCTTCGGTGGAGCTCCCTATGGAGCCACGAAACGTGTGAGGGGTGTGCCGAAATGGGTGTGGGGGACGCATGCGGCCGCGGGCACTGGGGCCTTCGGTGGAGCTCCCTATGGAGCCACGAAACGTGTGAGGGGTGTGCCGAAATGGGTGTGGGTGACGCATGCGGCCGCGGGCACTGGGGCCTTCGGTGGAGCTCCCTATGGAGCCACGAAACGTGTGAGGGGTGTGCCGAAATGGGTGTGGGTGACGCATGCGGCCGCGGGCACTGGGGCCTTCGGTGGAGCTCCCTATGGAGCCACGAAACGTGTGAGGGGTGTGCCGAAATGGGTGTGGGTGACGCATGCGGCCGCGGGCACTGGGGCCTTCGGTGGAGCTCCCTATGGAGCCACGAAACGTGTGAGGGGTGTGCCGAAATGGGTGTGGGTGACGCATGCGGCCGCGGGCACTGGGGCCTTCGGTGGAGCTCCCTATGGAGCCACGAAACGTGTGAGGGGTGTGCCGAATTGGTTGTTGATGATGGTGATGATGATGATGATGATGATGATGATGATGATGATGATGATGATGATGCTGATGATGATGATGATGATGATGGGAGGGGGGAGGAGGCAGCGGGAGGAAGGAAGGAAGGAAGGAAGGAGAACGCGGGGCACCGTCTCTTCAAAACGAGGACCCAACACCACAGGATGGTTGGGAAAAACTGTATTAAAAACAGGAAAAATAGTCCCCAGAGTAATTTTTGACCATTTTTGAATATTCCCCCTGTAGAGGGACCGGCCCGACATAAACGTAGAATCGTCGACCCCCGGGAGAACCCGCGAGCCGACGCCGGCTCTCCTGGGTGGCCTGGCGCCTCGGGCCCCAGAGCGCACCACCCGTGCGCCCGTGCGCGGGCCTTTTTGGGGGGGCCACCTGGCGGGCGGCTCCGCGCGCTTGGGAGAGGGGCGCCGTCCCCGCGCTTGCTGCCCCGGTGACGATTCGGAGCCCCCCCTCCTCCTCCTCCGCCTCCGCCTCCTCCTCCTCCTCCTCTTCTTCTTCCTCCTCCTCCTCCTCCTCCTCCTCCTCCTCCTCCTCCTCGGGGGTGGCGGGGGGCGGGGTGGCGGGGTGGCGTGGCCCCGGCGTGGGCCGGGGGGTGGCGTCGCCTGCGCAGGCCGCGGCGGACCCCAGAGGGGCGGGGAGGCAGGCAGAGGGCAGGAGGAGCGGGAGGAGCAGGAGGAGGAGGAGGAGCAGGGGGCAGGAGCAGGTCAAGGAGCAGAGGCAGGAGGAGCAGCAGGAACTGGAGGAGGAGGAGGAGGAGGAGGAGGAGGAGGAAGAGGAGGAGGAAGACGAACACGACGACGAAAAGACTACGAATCTCCGACGAAGGGCGCCGCCGACGACGACGCCAAACGACGAAGCCGAACGATGACGCCGCCGAGCGATGACGACGCCGAACGACGTCGACGCGACGCCGAACGGCCACGACGCCGAATGGCGACTACGCGAAACGAAGACGACGCCGACGACGCTGTCGACGCCCACGCCGCCGAGGGCGTCGATGAGGGCGAGTGGTGGAGGAAGAGGAGGAGGAGGAGGAAGGAGGAGGAAGGAGAAAAAGGAGAAGAAGGATATGGAATGAGAAGAAGTAGCAGGAGCAGTAGAACCAGCGGGAGGAGTAGGCAGAGGAGCGGGAGAGGGAGTAACTAGAAGGAGGAGACGGAGGAGAAGGACAACAACGACGACGACTACGGAAAGCCGACGACATCCCGACGACGACGACGCCGACGCCGAGTGACGACGACGACGCCGAACGACGTCGATGATCACGAGGCCGAAAGACGCCGTCCGACTCGGACGTCGCCGTCGCTGGCGGCGCCGGTGGCGGCGCCGACGCCGCCAGGCTGGCGGCCCCCTTCAAGGCGGCGGCGCGCGGGGCGCGGACCCGCAGCAGGAGGAGCCCGAGGACCCCTCCCCCCCGCGGGCGTCCGGCGCGGCGGCGTCGGCGCCGATGCCGACGCGCCGCGGGTGCGGCGCGCCTCACCCCGCGTCGACGGGCGTCGCCAGCGTCGGCGCCGTCCTCGACGGCGCAGCGTCGTCGATGCCGCCGCCGCTAGCGCCGCCGTCGTCGTCGTCGCGGCGGCGCGGGGTCGCGCGGCGGCAACGGCGCAGCTGGAATAATGCTTCGACCCTGGACCCTAGAACACACCTCGGACCTCCTCCTCCTCCTCCTCCTCCTCCTTCTGCTCCTCGCTTCTCCTCCTCCTCCCTCTGCTCCTCGCTTCTCCCTCCTCCGCGCGATCCCGCGCGCGCGGGCCCGCGTGAACAGGGAAGGAGAAGGAGGAGGAAGAGGAAGACGAGGAGGAGGACGAACAGCAGGATTATGAGCTCAAGCCAGCCAGGTCGAGCGAGAAGCAGGTCCCCGCCTGTCCCCACCGTCCCTTCCATAGCCTGACTGCCAAGCGTGGCGCAACTTGATATTGGGATTGGGACGCACTCCCCACCTGGCGGAAGGAAGTCGCCTGCGCTCGGCCCCGTTGCCGACGACTTGGCGAAGGGAAAGTTGCGCGGGCCGCGCAGGGGCGAGAGCAGCAACTCTTTCTGATAGGCGCGGCGAGCAAGACGCATGCGCCGCGCCGACGCAGCACTGCCACTTGTTTTCGCAAATTGCGCGGCGCGTCGGCGAGGAGGAGGAGGATTAAGGTTAAAGTGTCGAGGTCTTTGGGCGTCTTACGCTCTCTGTTCGGCCTACTGGGGCCTCCAGAGGAGTACGAGCATGAGTTTGGCAATGTGACGAAGGCAGTTGAAGCTGAAACTGTCGCTCATTCCACACTTACGGGGAAAACGATTGACGTGCAGAACACGGCGGCGACTCTCAACACGAAGCCGACCAAGAAACGACACGAATAACAATCCTCACCCAATTTCCCGCCCAGGCTCACGCCTGCTGCGCAGAAGGTCTGCAGCAATGCCGCCACAGCAACGTATCAGAACTCGGGAGGAGATGCCGCTTCAGGTGCGGTGGAGGCGTTTGTTAAGGAATGTGCCGCGGAGGCTTCAGACCCTGGGGGATTCCTTATCTGGTGAGGGCGGCGGTGATATCCATGGCCAAGCCTCAATTGGAGTTCCACCGGCCTCCAGACCCGCCGCAACGGCCGAGCGTGCTTAGCGCAGAATTGCATAGAATTCAACTCACCACGGGCATTTTGCCCTTGCAGAGAGGAAAAAATGCCCCCACTGTATCATCACTCAGGTGCCGCTTCAGGTGCTTCCACGAGGGGAGTCGGCCCATGCCAGGGCCCTTCCTTTACGGTTCCCTCGCCTTCGGACGGATGTCGATCCACGTGTCCAGGAACACTCCAGGGCACCAATCGGTTTCGCCCAGCTCTTGCCATACCCAACAGGCTGAGGAGTCAATCGCAGCCCTCGGCAGGAACGAGACGCAACGCATTGCATGTAGGAGCCGAGGATCAGAACCGGCCTCCCGCCAGCAGCTGATGGCGCGCTCGCATCTGCCCCCCACCCCGCGGCCCCTTGAGAAGTGGTATCCCGACACCGCCTGTCGAAATGGTCCTGATTGAACACGGCTGCCCTGCAGTCCCGCCCGTCAACTTTTTGTGACACAATGGCGGGGCCCAGCGTCTGAGCGTGCCCCTCGAGTGCCGCGCGGAGGGCGCTGGCTGAGGCCTTCGGCTCGCCACAGGCCAGACGGCTGCGGGGAGGCTCAAGCCGCTTACTTGAGCTCTCCTGCTCTAGAGGAGGAGGGAGGAGGAAAAGGAGGAGAAGGAGGAGGAGGAGGAGGAGGAGGAGGAGGAGGAGGAGGGTGGAGAGGAGGAGTGAGGAGGAGGGAGCTGGTGGGGAGGGAGGAAAAGGGATGGAGGATGAGAGTTGAGGAGAGGGGCGGGGAACGGAGGGTGGAGGGAAGAGTAGTGGGAGGAGGAGGAGGAGGAGGAGGAGAGGAGGAGGAGGAGGAGGAGGAGGAGGAGGAGGAGGAGGAGGAGGAGGAGAGGAGGAGGAGGAGGAGGAGGAGGAGGAGGAGGAGGGGGGGAGGAGGAGGAGGGAGGAGGAGGAGGAGGAGGAGGAGGAGGAGGAGGAGGAGGAGGAGGAGGAGGAGGAGGAGGAGGAGGGAGGAGGAGGAGGAAGTGGAGGCGGAGGACGAGAAGGTAGCCATTGCAGGTGGTGAGCGGGGGCGGCGCCGGCGAAGGACTCCTTCCGGAGAAAGAAGGACGAGGCCTGCAGGACGCCCGCCGCTCCGTCCACCCGTGCCCGCTGTCCCGGCGGGGCCCTGTGGGGAGAGGGCAGTCTGGCGCTGGAGCTCCGGAGGGAGGGAAATGGATGGGGGAACGGGGAGGAGGGAGGAGGGAGGGAAGGAAGAGAGAGGGACGGAGGGAGGGAGGAGGGGGAGGGAGGGAGGAGGAGGACGACGACGACCAGGAGGAGGAGGAGGAGGAGGAGGAGGAGGAGGAGGAGGAGGAGGAGGAGGAGGAGGAGGAGGAGGAGGAGGACAAGGAGGAGGATGGAGGAGGAGGAGGAGGAGGAGGAGGAGGAGGAGGAGGATGAGGAGGAAGAGGAGCGGGGAGGAGGAATGGCGGCAGGAGGAGGGAGACCAGAAAACCCCCAGGATGCGTCAACGGCCCTGGAACACACACACACACGCACATCCTCCCGGCACAAGTCCCTCCCCCTGTCCCTGCAAGTCTTCATCCTTTCTGCGGGAGTACTGTTGGGCCTGCCACTCATCACCGAGCGCGTTTCACTACTCGCAAAGTGCCTGCTCGCAAACGTCAGACAAACACACGTGTTCCTCGATGTAATTTACCGTAAATCCCCCGCGGCGGATCCAGGTCGTTTGCGAGTAGCTACTTTGCGAGTGGTGGAGCGCGTTCGTCCAACTCCGACGAGACCCCAGTTCGTACAGGATCCATCCTCCACCCACCACAGGCACAAAGGATGTTGATGATTGAGTACAGGGACGCGTCCAGCGTCAGGCCCGTTTATGAAAAACAAATATCCCCTCGTCGTCCTCCTCCTCCATGTTCCAACCTCAGGCGAGAGCTCTACTCAGGAGGAACAAGGCACACAGGCACGATTAGTCGCCGATACCCAGGAGAGTATGGGAACATACGGGAAGTGTGTGTGTGTGGGGAGGGGAAAGACGCAAACCCAGGAAATATGGGAAAATACCGGGAACCCAGGGATTTGCTTATTTTTATTAGTGTGCCCTGGGACCCCTTCATCTACGCCGGAAGGCTCAAGCGAGAGTCCCATTTCGAAAAAGAACCGGCCTCTACCCGTACCACTGTTCCACCATGTGGGTTTTCGGGACATGCAGCTCGAGGGAGCCTCAAGCGATAATGCAATTTAGAAAACGAACCAGCCTCCATCACTGTAAGCCGTTGGACGCTTCCAAGAATTGCGTACGCGCCGCTAAGACGAGAGCCGCATTTGGGAAACAACCTGTATTCCATATCTTCAAGTGTCGGAGTCTTTTTTCACACATGTGCGTGGCTCTAGGACCACGGCCACGTGTCGGAAACCACCAGCCCTCAATACTTCTAGCTGTGTAGTTGTTGAAGTTTACTTAGCTTCACAGGTGTACTTCGTAAGAAAGTCTCTAGCGAAGCGCGTGGCCTGGTCTACGGACTCGCCTGTAGCGGGGAGGGGGCAGGATGGGGGGAGGAGGTGGAGGAGGACTGAGGAGAGGCATGAGGGAGGAGGGGGAAAATGATAAGGAGGAGGAGGAGGCGCGTCATCGAGGTTGCAGTACTCCTTCCCTCCAAGCTTTCTCTTCATAGGGCCCTGGAAATTGTATTACCATGGCGGGGAAGCCCCATTGGAAGACAACCGTCTGATAATCTGCGATCGTGCCAAAACACCGTTCCTGGGACTTCAGCGTCGCCAATTAACGGGTCTTTGCTTGTTCCTGACAGTCCGGACTTGTGCCAGGACACCACTCCTGGGATTTCAATACCGCGAATAAGCGTGACTGTTGCGTCCTGACAATCCGAACTATTGCCAGAACACCGTTCCTGGGAGGTCGACCATGCGAATCCTTGAAATTGCTGCGAACTGTCTAAACGAATGTGCGCATCGCTACAGCGACAACCACATTTTAAACAAGAGCCGCCCTTGATAGTGAAAGCGGATCCCAACTTTTAAGACGAACGTGCGCAGTGCCAGGGCGAGAGTAATCTTTTGAAAACCGCTCGCTGTCCATCCGCGAAACTGTCGCAAACTGTTAAGACGAATGATAACGGAGCTATTACGATAGCGACATTTTGACAACGTCCCGGCCTTCATTTTTGAAGCTGCTGCACATGTTGAAGACGAGTCCACGCGGTGCTAAGGCGAGAGCCGCATTTTGAGAACCACTGGCACTCCATCCGGGAAGCTGGTGCGAATTCCAAGCTTCAGGATCGAACGTTGTGAGGAAGTCTGAGGCGAAGTGCCCGGCCCGCCCTGTCGACACGTCTGGGGGTGCGACAGTGATCAGGAGGGGAAAAAAAACACAGACACAATTAATCGTCGATTCCACAGAACATATGATGGGAAAATATGGGAAGTGGGGGCGAAGACAAAAACCCACAAACTATGGGAAAATATGGGGAATCATGTTATTTGTGTGTATTTATTTGTGTGTCCCAGGGCCCCTTCAAGTGAAGGGTTATGGAGAAGGAACAAGGGATGGAGGAGGAGAGTGGGGGCAAGGTGGAGGCTGGCTGCGGAAAGCAAGTCGGCATTCCGACGGCGAGGCAGCTCAAGATCATCCTGAATTACCTGAAAGATTTCAAGGACATTACCGATCAGCTCAAGAAGGGTTCGAAGGCAGCTGTGCCTTCTCCTGCTCCGCTCCCTTCCCTCCTCCTTCTCAATCTCCTGCTCAGTTTCTTCCCTTTTTCTCATCCTCCTCCTCCTCTTTCTCCTGCTCCCCTTCTTCCCCTTCTCCTCATACTTCTCCTGTCCCCATCCTTCTCGTTATCCGTCGCCTCTTCCTTTCTGCTCTCTCGCTGTTGCTGCTGCTGCTCTTCCTGCTCCTCGAGGGCTGGCTGCCCTGGAGGGCTGCCGCCACATGTCGCCATGTGTGGCCTCATGCTTCGGCAGGAGGGTGCTATGGATGATGCTGTTGCTGCTGATGGTTACGAATCTGACGACGACGATGACGGCGGCGACGACGAGGGTAAGGGCGATGAATGATGGTGACGAGGAGGAGGAGGAGGAGGAGGAGGAGGAGGAGGAGGAGGAGGAGGAGGAGGAGGAGGCGTGTGTTGAGGATGTTGAGGAGGAGGAGGGGCCAGAATCCAGATCAGGTCCTCAACGAAACACCGAAAACGCCCGATGGTAAAACGCAGCGAGATGGAGACCGAGATCCCGACAGGACCCTCCGTCTCAGTGTAGCCGCTCAGTGCATATGAGAAGCTCACTCCGCCTCATTGTAGCCTCAGTGCCGCTCAGTGTAGCCTCAGTGTATCCGCTTATCTGGCTCCGCCTCAGAGTAGCCGCTCAGTGCGTGTTAGCAGATTATCTCACGCGCACCGTGGCACGGCGACTTGCCCCCCGGGTGTTCTCGCACGCGCCAGGGCAGCAGTTGTCCTCGTCACCGTCCTCAGAGCGCCCAGGCGAGAGCGGAACTCACCTCAAGAAGAGAGGAGGGGGAGGAGGAGGGGGGGGGATGACGATGAGGATGACCAGGGAGGAGGACGATGGGGAAGTGGTGGTGGGGGAGGAAAATGCAAAGGAGAGACAGACAAATGAGCAGGGAGAAGGCGGCGGAGGATTAGGATGAGAAGAAGGAGGCGCAAGAGGAGGATGATACTGATAATGACGATGCGACGCAGGAGGAGGGCGAGCAGGAGGAGGAGGAGGAGGAGGAGGAGGAGGAGGAGGAGGAAGGCGAGGAGGAGGAGGGGGGAGAGGAGCAGGAGGAGGAGGAGGAGCAGTATGAGGATGAGCAGGAGGGCACAGCGCGTTTCCTGGGGCCGTCATGCTTATCACCGTAAGCGCCGCTCCGTTTGCCCGCTGTCAGCGCCGTCACGCCATGTCGTCATCATCATCATCATCATCATCATCATCATCATCATCATCATCATCATCATCATCATCAGCATCATCATCATCATCACCATCATCATGATCATCATCATCTACATCATCACCATCTACATCTACATCATCATTATCAGCAGCAATATCCTCCTCCTTATCATCATCATCAGCATCACCATCGACAGCAACATCATTATCATCATCGTCATCATTATCACCATCGCGATCATCATCATCACCACTGTTATTATCATCATCGTCATCACCGTTATCACCACCACCATCATATAATCATCATTACAACCCTCATCACCACAATTATCATCGCCATAATTAGTATCAGCATTGTCGTCATCATCATCAGCACCATCATAGCTCATCAGCGTCATCATCCTCACCATCACCATCACCATCCTCATCGCCGTCATCATCATCATCCTCAGCATCATCATCATCATCATCATCATCATCATCATCATCATCATCATTATTATCCTCATCATCATCACCATCCTCATCACCATGAGCATTATCACCACCATTATCAGAATGATCATCATCATTACCATCATCATCCTCATCATCGTCATCCCCATCCCTATCCTGATCAGTATTGCCATCGGAAGCCTCATCATCGCCGCCATCATGATCATCAACAGCATCATCATCTTCATCGTCATCAGCATCATCATCAGCATCGTCATCAGCATCGTCGTCATCATCATCACCATCGTCATTCATCATCATCGTACAGCCGGCTTCTTCAGTCGAATCAGAACGGCGTAACCATACACTTTCGGGGCTCTGTGCGGAGTTCTCGGGCAGCGTCCCCCTTGGCGCGCGCCGCGTTCCTATGAGAGATTTTTTCCCGACATCCTGAGTGGGGTTCTTGTTTTCCCAGAACGCCCTCTCCTTCCCACCCACCTCCCGCTCCATCTTCCATACAGCACAATATTATTCCTACCACACACCATACCATACCATAGTTCCTACCACACATACCATACCATACCATACCAGGGAGGCCCCGCCTGAGCGAGGAGGGTATCCGCAAACCATACTATTTACATGGTTTCGTGCCCCTCCCACCCCTCCAGGGAGGCCCCGCCTGAGCGAGGAGGGTATCCGCAAACCATACTATTTACATGGTTTCGTGCCCCTCCCACCCCTCCAGGGAGGCCCCGCCTGAGCGAGGAGGGTATCCGCAAACCATACTATTTACATGGTTTCGTGCCCCTCCCACCTCTCCAGGGAGGCCCCGCCTGAGCGAGGAGGGTATCCGAAAACCATACTATTTACATGGTTTCGTGCCCCTCCCACCTCTCCAGGGAGGCCCCGCCTGAGCGAGGAGGGTATCCGAAAACCATACTATTTACATGGTTTCGTGCCCCTCCTCCCTTCCAGCGGGGCCCCGCCAAAGCGAGGAGGGCATCAAGAAAATGGGTCCCACGAAATCGTTAATCTCTTTATGTGGGGAACTCCGTTAACATAATTTTTATGATTCATTGCGCCCGCAACTTCCGTCACGGGGGGTCGCCCACCCCCCCCGTAACGGTTGCGCCGTGCCCTCATGCATGGCGTGGCGAGGCAATCGGAAAACATCTGGAGACCTGAGGCGGCCGTCGACGTCGTCGTCGTCGTCGTCGTCGTCGTCGTCGTTGTCGGGAGCCCGGCCCCCCTCCCGTGATCCGGCCACGTCCTCCTGCTCCTCCTCCTCCTCTTCTTGGCCTTATCGATCCTCCTCGATCATCCTTGATCCTCCTCGATCCTCCACCCCACTCCTCGATGCTCGATCATCCTCGTCCTCTACCTTCCTCCTCGATCCTCCTCCCCCTCCTCGGCCCTCCCTCTCTCGTCCTCAACAACCTCCCCCCTCGATCCTCCTCCTCCGCCCTCGACCCTCCTCCTCCTCCTCGCTCCCTGCCCTCCCCCAGCACTCCTCCTCGATCCTCCTCCTCCCTCCTCCCGCCTCGGTCCTCCTGCCGCCCTCCTCCTCTGCCTCTTCCGCCTCGCCCTCCCCGAGGGCACCCTTTCGGCCCGAGGGGCCCCGGCGGCCATCCTGGCGCGGCGGGGCGGGGGCCCCGACGTCGGATCCGCGATGCTTCGGGCGATCTCTCAGGAGGGAACCACAACACACAGACACAATTCATCGTCGATTCCCCAGAACATATGGGAAGTGGGGGGAAGACACAGAACCAACACCAAAACATATGGGAACAGATGGGGAATCTTTTGATTCGTGTGTATTTATTTGTGTGTCCTGGGGCCCCTTCAATCTCGTGAGTAGGGCGGGAATTTTCGTCCTGCTCTTCAAGCTCCTCTGATCTCGATTTCCGCCCGGCTCCGCCATCGCCGCTTCCGCCCACACTCCTTGCGGACGTGCCCACCCTCTTTTTCGGAGGCGGCGTTTGCCGCCCCACTGTTTCGTATTCTTTGGCTTCCTTCTCCGTTTTCTCTCCTTCCTCCTCTAGTTCGTGCGCTCTTGGCGATGTTTCGTGTGACACTCCCGGGTTGCCCGGTGGTCTTCTGTCTCACGTTGTGGAGCCATTTGTGCATGGAGGTCTCGAGGTCGTAAAACAAATAGTCTCGTATCGTTTGGGGAACCTGCCCAGGACAGTCTGAAGTCGGGAAGTCCGCCACAGGCACGCAGGATCCGAAGTCAGAGGGTCCAGGCCTCCCAGATGGGGTCGGAGCAGATGGGGTCGGAGGATCGCGCCGCATCGCCGATGCATCGCCGATGCAGCTCGATGTGGAGCCCGATTTCTTTCACGTCGACGTCGCCGATGCATCGCCCACGTCGACGCCTCACCGCCGGTGCATCGCGGCGTGGTCTTCCGACCCCACCTACTCCGGCCCCATCTAGGAGCCCTCTAGAGGGGGCGGGGGGGAGGGTGTGTGAGCGGGATGGCTCGCGCCCGCGGGCGCCGCGCCCGCTGCGGCGGGGCCGCGCTCGCCGCCGCCGCCGCCGTCGCAGCGCTGTGCTCCGCCGGCGGAGAAGGGGGGGGGGCGCGGGTCTTCTCTGGGATCGGCACGAGCGAAGTGGGTACGGAAAGAATGGGTACAATATCGGGCGAAAAGAACTATGCACATGCACCGATCCTGGCAAGGCCCATCCTTGACCCAGGACCGGTGCATATACCTTCCTGGCCAATGTAGGGGGGCGTATGCACCGATCCTGGGCTCAGGATTGGCCTGGCCAGAAACGATGTATGTGCATAGTTCTTTTTCCTCTATACAATTCCCGACGGTAGTTCTTGTTCATTTCGAACAGGATCGGCACGAGCGAAATGGGTACGGAAAGAAGGGGTACAATGCCCAACACTTGGTGGGCCCCGGAAGCGGCAGGGCCGTTTTTTGTCGCCGTTTCCGAAAAGGTGCCCCTTGAAAATGGAAACGGCAACAAAAACGGCGACCGGAAACAGCAACGAACGTGGCTCCAGGATTGGAGCCGGAGCGGGAGCCCGTAAAAGAACGGCGACGGAACCGGTACAAAAACGGCGTCGGAACCGGCAACAAAAACGGCAAAACGGAACCAGTAACAAAAACGGCCCTGTCGTTTCCAGGGCCCAGGCCCACAACAGCAGATCTGGTTCATTTTGAACAGGACCCGCTGTCGGTGTCGCCGCGGCCCGTGTCCGCTTGAGACGGAAGGCCGCCTGCCCAGCAGCGGCCGCTGCTTGTGTGAGACAGCTAGGGGGCCACATGCGAACCCTACCCCTACCCCCCACGACTTCTGAGGGGGAGGGTGGGGTTCACTTCGTTCCAGAGCTCCCGAGCGAAGT